CAAATATAAGTAAACACTTTGCAGTTTGAATGATGTCCTCTAAGAACAAAATGACGGAGTATGTTTTTATGTGTAACAGTTCAATCGCACCAGCACCTCACCCACACACACACACACACACACACACACACACACACATTGAAACATGAGTGAAGTACAAAGCCTATAATAAAGAATAGTTTAGCATCCAAATACATCGCAAATGTTGAAACAGTTTGATTCTAATGAGAGAGTTACGTGAGCCCAACATCACTTACTTTCGCTTTCGCTTTCAATTATTTTGGTTATTTCTTAATTATAGCTTTTTTAAATTCTTGTTCTGTTCTGAATATAACTAAATTTAAAGAATTGCTTGTGTAATATTTTGTGTATCATCAAATCAGAATAATTCTCTCGGTTTAGTGATTCCCTAGTTATTTTTTTTATTGTTTTCATTGTTCTAATCAGGTAAGGCAAGTGATATATTTGTTTATATATATGTATATATTTTATATTATATATATATATATATATATATATATATATAATTATATATATATATATATATAATTATATATATATATATATATATATATATATATATATATAAATATAGCTGCGAGCGGCGATGAAGGGCCAAAGCCGGCGGCACCACCACCCCGGTGCCTTTAGGTAACTAAAGGTACCGGGGTTGCGGTGCCACCGGCTTGGGCCCGTAATCGCTGCTCGCAGCTATATTTTTCTTTGTTATTAAAAAAATAAGACAAGATAAACATTACACAAATTAATATTCAAATTAAATAAACAGTGCTTTATTTTTTCAGATACAGTAGGTGTATTTAGCAGTAGCATTGAATAACGTAATTAAATGAACAAATTAAAACACTACATAGACTTCACTATATAAGTTATTGATTCTTATTAAAGTTCTCAGTCAGTGAGTGATTTTCTCCTTGTGTTTTGTTGTTTAATTAACATTAAAGGGATAGTTCCCTCAAAAATATAAATTGTCTTAATTTACTCTCTCAAGATGTTTTAAACCCGAATAAGTTTCTTTCTTCTGTTGAAAATAAAAGTTATTTTGAATAATGTGGGTAACCGAACAGTTGCTGTTCCCCAGTGTATAGTTTTTTTTTTTTTCTCCTGGAAGTTAATGGGGACCAGCAACTGTTTGGTTACCCACATTCAAAAAAACTATCTTCTTTTGTGTACAGCACAAGAAAGAAATTTAATACAGGTTTGGAACAACATTAGAGTGAGTAAATAATGACAGATTTTTTTTTTTTTGTGAACTATCCCTTTAAGTACAAGCGGCAGTACTATTTACTACTGTCGCTTTTAGACCAGCACGCGACGCGTTTAATATAGACGCATATTACATCAGATTTTCTCTCAAATGTTTGCTTTCACTTTAGACATAACCAATTCTGTTTATGTAAACATTGTGTGTATTTAACAGTATTAGCATAATAAGACTCGAAAGATAACTTAGTCCAGTATTCAGGCGCTGTTTGACAGGCTTCTAGTGCTTGTGAGCGTCGGGGGTATGCGCTCAGGAAAGCGCACGTTAGAACAGCGCATCAGCACGTGAATGAAATGTTTAACCGGCAAGGCTTATGCAAACTTTTGTGAATTGCAGTGTCCCGTACGTACGCCATACCTATTCATTAACGTGTGATGTGTAGGCTACGTCACGTTGTACAGTTGAGACAGAGGCGCCAGAACTGAACTGATACACTGTAACACGATACTACGATATTTCTTCAAAAGCAGATCGTGGAGACATTTTAATCGTCCACGATCAAAAATCGTGATATCGCACACCCCTAGCACCAACACTTCAAAAGAATTATATTTAAAACTAGACTTCTCAGTAATTCTGAAGATATTACTATAAATGGGCTTTATGCACAGTTTCACTACTTCCTGAACTTCAGCCAGCCCTTTGTTTCCTGTCTGTCATTATTGGACAAACTGATTAATCCAGGTGTGCCCATTATATCCATTATTGTTACTGAGAAAGAAACGGCTGGCTGAAGTTCAGGAAGTAGTGAAGCTGTGCATAAAGCCAATTACAGCAACACATCCCCCTTTGCCATTCAGACGAGGCTCATGTTTATAACGGTAATCTTGGGGGGTGGACTCATTTAAAGTAATGTATTCTTTCATTCCATTTCTTTCTTTCTTTCTTTCTTTCTTTCTTTCTTTCTTTCTTTCTTTCTTTCTTTCTTTCTTTCTTTCTTTCTTTCTTTCGCACGTACCCTGGTGTTCTTAATGGGATGTTCCTTACTGGATTGCTGTACTGTTTTTCTGATGTGCTGTTCCAGTTTCTCCCTGGTGGTTTCTAGCTTCCCACTCTTCTCCTCCAGCAGCTGCCTGGCATGCTGAAAGGGGTCTTTGAAGAAGCTGGCTCGTTCTTTCTGTTTCCGTTTTCCGTTCAGCCCTGTGAAGCCTGGACTGTCTTTGCCTGATCTCCTCCCACAAGGCTTTCAGACCCTCTTTTTCTGCCAGCGTTGCCTTCCTCCAGTTCTTCCATGGTTGTCGGCACCTTCGCACTAGATGGTCAATCTCCTTTTCCCTCCTTCCCTTCTCTCTTTGGGCAGTCCTCTAGTTGGAGGTCACTTCGCCAAACCTGTTCTTACAGGCCTGGTATAGGACGTCCCCAATCTGGTTGACCTTGGATTCCGCCCCTCCTCACAAATATCCTTCCAGTATCTTGGCCAGGTCGGTGTCCAGTGTTCGCCATGCCTCTGTCTCACTTGATTTTGGCCATTTGAGCTTGCCTCTTCTAGTTTTTTTTTTTTTTTTTTTTGTCTCTGCTTTTGTCTCTGTTCTGTGTGAGTTGGTGGCGACTGGGTCTTGGTACTCACGTGGGGCTCTCCCTCCACCAGTGGGGCTTCTTCCTCTGTGACATCTTTGCCTTTTGCATCATTGGGTCCATCGACTCACCTGCTGAGGCAGTACAAGTTTGCTGTTGGCCCTTCTGCCCACACTTTCGCTTCCCCTGGTGGATTCGCAACCCACGGAACGTGGTAACTTTTTCCCATCCGCATCCACACTTCCGGAGGATCTTCTTTTCTTTTCCAGAAATTCTTGTATTCATCTCGTTGTCCGTTTCCATTGCTGTCGTTACAGTGTGGTCCGTCCTGTTAGGCCCATCTTTCATCCCGCCTCTCGGAGGGCCTGCGGGTTGTTTTTTCTTAAGGTTCTAGTCAAGGTTTGGGTGTGCCTCTTCAGAGGTACTAGTGGGTTGGCTAACTAGCCGCCCACTCCCGGTGCGGTCTTTCCCTGCTGTCATCCAGTCTTTCCTGGACTCCAACTGCACTGTTCTCAGTAGTCACTATGTTACAAGAACTTCAGTGAAATGTACAGGTAGGTGGAACACCTGCTAGGCATTGCTGCCGGTCGCACCTCCTCCTGTGCCCACGGGTCAGCTGTAGGGCCATCAGCCAGGAACCACCATTCACCAACGTTTTCACTCTTTTAATCCTGGAACTAATACCAAAATACCAACAGTACCAAAATACCAACCGAAAGAACAAAAGAAATTTCCCCAGAACCCATTTGTTTCTTAAAAAATGAAACGAGTAAAATGATTAGAACATGTCAAATAAGGAGTAAAATGCTAGTAAAATGTTTTCATGCTAAACTACACGTTCAGATCAACCAGCTATAGATCCTCCATGACGGAAAAACAAAAGGAAAGAGATGTTGACAGATGCCAGTCTAGATAAAATACCACATTTCAGTAAACTGACAACCTTTATACTGTACATTGTTTTACATGGATTTACTGTAAGATACGCTGCTACCATTGGTTTAAAACAAACTCAAGCTCATGATGTTTCTCATTAGTTCTGTTGCTTGAGTTGGCCTTTAGCAGAAATTGCAGCTTTTAAAAGCAAATTTAAAGCCTAACGCCGTGTCCTAACCAGACTTGATGCACTGCATTTGCAACAAAACAAATTAGTACATTATCAAATTACTAATTCTTACACAGTTTTAACATGATTAAAAATACATACTGAGTGACTGAAATCATCTTTATCATAGAATGCACTTGTTTGTTTGAAATAACCAACCGTCAAGGCACTTGAGTATTTGTTCTTCCTATCCTTTCTCTTTGTTACAGATTTTTCTCATCTATTTGTTTTTGACCAGTTTTCACTGTGTTTCCAAATCCCTACTATTACTAACTAGCATAAATCACGTCACACATTGAAGACAGCTCAATCCTGACAACCTGTGTACTTTCCCTGTGTCTTCTAGTACATGTCTTTCTTTTCTTATTGGTCTCTGGAATTGCCAGTCTGCTGTAAACAAAGCCCAAACAACATTCCCGTCTTGGCGAATATCCATACTCATGTCTTCAGTATCAGTGTACTGGATCCATGCATTACCCCTAGTGTTGGATGAGGAGAGACCCCGGCATGATTGTGAAGCAGTACAGTAGTACTCATACAGTAGTACAATTGAAAGCGCTATATAAATGCTTCATTCGTTCGTTCGACCTGGCCGACCATTGCTGCTTCGATCAAGGTCCTTTTTTTGGTCCCTGTACTTTTTCTTTAGTTTTTTAAGTTTGTTGATAATCTATTCAACGTTCCTGTCGAGCCCTGTTGCAGCAATCTCGTACTGAATTTTCTGTTACTGTGGTTTTGTCCGTAAAGCTCCCTGCAAGCAGTTTGTTTCCTCCACGGACCACTGTTGTTTTGTCTTAATCGATCCCATCGTTTTTAGCTACTATTCTTGTTGGTCACGGTAACCCCAGCCCCTGACGCAAGCGGTTCTTACTTCTAGACCAGTAATGTTTTGGTGCTATTTACTAACCACTTTTCCTGGTTCAGAGCTGGTGCTTTAGGTGTCGAAAGACAAAGAACTGATTTGAAACTAGGCTCTGGCTCTGAACCAGCACTGAAGCTGCCTTGGTGGAAAAGGGGTAAAAGACAGTTCACCACCTCAGCCGTTCATGAGAGTTTAAATGCTGGGGAATATTCCCATCTTCCCACAGGAGAAGAAGAAGCAAGCAGGAGGAATTACTCCAGGAGAAACTACGGACATACTATTGAAAAGATGGAGATTAAGGAAGAACCCTGCAGAATAAAAGATGAAGATACAGAGGAACAAATAGGTTGGTGTTTTCCTTCATTCTCTTTAATGACTGATGAGGACCATTTAAGATGAAAAATTACATATAATCTAAAACTAGATACTAGTAGACTCCATATTAAACTAGATTTTGCTAATTTAGTGCACCCTGAATTTTTTTTTTTGTTTCTAATTTGTGATTTGAACCCGAATGTAATGTTGATTTTAGACCCAATGGAAGTGACTGAAGACAAGAAGCATTTCATAAATAAAGGTGGAAACATAATTTTAAAGACTGAAAAGAATTGCATACCGAAAATTGCTGGCAAAACTGGAGTCAAAGGATCTTTTACCTGCTCTGAGTGTGGAAAGAGTTTCATAAGTAGAGGAAACCTTAAGTTGCACATGATGATTCACACTGGAGAAAAACCGTTCACATGCACTCAGTGTGGAAAGAGTTACAGTCAGAAAAGAGACTTGAATGAGCACCTAAAAGTTCACACTGGAGAAAAACCGTTTACATGCACTCAGTGTGGAAAGAGTTTCAGATGCAAAAAGGTTCTCAAAGATCATCTGCGCCGTCACTCTGGAGTGAGATCATTCAGCTGTGATCAGTGTGATAAAACATTTGTTGTGAGATCAAACTTAAGAAGACACCTTAAAGTTCATACTGGTGTGAAGCCTCACATTTTCTTTTGTTCTTTTTGTGGAAAGAGTTTGTCAAAACTGCAGACTTTAAAAGAACATGAGCGTATTCATACTGGTGTGAAACCTTTTATGTGCTTAGACTGTGGAAAGACCTTCACTTTATACACTGGCTTAAAACAACACCACAGAAGTCATACTGGAGAGAAACCGTACAAGTGCTCACACTGTGGAAAGAGTTTCACTCGGTCAGGAACCTTGAAAGATCATGAAAGAGTTCATACTGGAGAGAAGCCGTACAAGTGCTCACAATGTGGAAACAGTTTCACTCGGTCATCTATTCTACGGACTCATGAGAAAAAGCATTGCCCGTTGGATTGAAAATAATCCCAAGATATTGGAAAATGAACAAAGACATTTTCTTTACTGTTTTCCACCCCCTCTTTCTCAACCAAGAGACCATTTGGAGTGTGTTGATGTGTGTACTTCAGGGGTCTATGAATTATCACATCTTTAGACGATGGGGGAAGTTGTAATTATCTGATTGGTCAGTTTGAACGTCTCAAATTTAGTTTTCGGTCACATGCTCAAGGAAGGGATTAAAGAAGATTGTAACAGTTGCTCTGTCTCTCTCTGATTACATTTTACATATATGCTGGGTACAATTAATGGTATAAGTGGTATAAGTTATCTCATACATCTTTTTTAAGTGTAATCATAACCATATTTTGTCATTAAACCTTTTCAATTACAAATGATGCACTGTTTAAAGGGGAACTTGGCAACTATTTCAACTTAATAAAACCGTTTAGAAATCATTTGAATGGTTCAATAACCTGTTCTGGAGAGAATGGTGACTTTCCCCGCTCCCCCCAGCGTTCCCAAGCGGAAAACCATCCTTGCAACATGAGGACTAATGTCCCGGTAAGTTGGAAATAGGAAGTGTCGTGAGAAGCGAGAAACACGAACTGCTTTATGGCAATTCGACATAATTCTATGATACTGTGTATGATGTATTACCCACTCGGTAGACACAGCTCCACACGATAAAGTTGGCCGGCTCAGATAATAACAAATGCACATAAGCAGCGGTAGAAAGCGGGAGGAAGGTGCCGCAAGTGAGTTTTTTTATGACAGTGTTGTGAAAATATACGCCGCACAGCTGTAGGGGGAGCTCGATGAGAAAACATGCGACAACAAAAGTGAAATTCGGCGAAGAAATGATTAGAGTTGCCAAATGCCCCTTTAAAATTACCTGTACATTTTACTGTAAAATACTGGCAGCAGGGTTGCCAGCCAGTTACTGTATTTTTTACAGTAGCGTTACTGTAATTTAATTTACCAAATGTTTCTGTATTTTCTGAATACAGTAAATAACTGTTTTTTATTTTTTTACAGTAAACTACATGAGTCTCTATTTGCTATATATATTTACATTTAAAATGCAGTATATATTTTCCTGATTTCTAAATATAAATGACTAGCAGCTGAATTTTAAATGTAAATAATTTATCAACTGCATAAGCTTTAAAAACATTTTTTTAAATACATTAAGTATTGTATAATGCATAGCTTAAAGAGCAACATGCAGGTTGGACACCCCTATATAGCATAGTGTATGTTGATGATAGAACAACTAGATTTTCTTAACTGGAGTAATATATATTTAGCCATTAACGATATTTTGAGATAAATTGTGATAAAATAACTTCCGCGTCTGTAAAGCACTAACCGGAAGTGACGATCGGCGAGGGAGTCTGGTCAAGTTCAAGCTCAGATTACAATAGATGCGAATGAAGAAACCGAGTTCTCCGATGTGGACGAACATGCTTATGATGGCCCACAGGCCTATAATTATGAGCCTCCTAGGCAAGATAGTAGTCAGGGGGAGGAACAATGGGCAGAGGAGAGAAGTAGAGTTGTGGTGTCAAGAAAACCAGTGGCGAATAGGGCAAGTGACTTGGTGAGTTCATGCAAGTTAGCACCGTGGCTAACGCTGGTTCATCTACTGTATGGCTAGTACCTTGGTGTTTTGCAATAAATCTGCTTTAGCAAACATACGTTCGACCTTGTTCTTGATTAAACATCCATTTAGATTGTCTTAATTTAAGCCAGCCACGTTCTGTCTTCTCATATTCTACGCTGACAGTGATTATGCTGTCCATCCAAGCTGGTTAGCACTATCTACATTGACTAAATACCATGCCATAACAACAAATTAATAATGACAATACCTAAGCTATAATAGCAACAGTCTAATGGCGCTTTTCCACTGCATGGTACGGCTCAGTACGGTTCTGCTCGCTTCGCTTTTCCACTGCGTGGTACGACTCAGTACGGTTCTGCTCGCTTCGCTTTTCCACTGCGTGGTACGACTCAGTACGGTTCTGCTCGCTTCGCTTTTCCACTGCGTGGTACGACTCAGTACGGTTCTGCTCGCTTCGCTTTTCCACTGCGTGGTACGACTCACTACAGTTCTGCTCGCTTTTGCTTTTCCACTGCGTGGTACGACTCACTACAGTTCTGCTCGCTTCGCTTTTCCACTGCGTGGTACGGCTCACTACGGTTCTGCTCGCTTCGCTTTTCCACTGCATGGTACGGCTCAGTATGGTTCTGCTCGCTTCAATTTTCCACTGCGTGGTACGGCTCAGTATGGTTCTGCTCGCTTCGCTTTTCCACTGCATGGTACGGCTCAGTATGGTTCTGCTCGCTTCGCTTTTCCACTGCGTGGTACGACTCAGCTTTAGCTCGGTTTGCTTTTCAACTGCAGTTAGTGATACCATTTAAAGCGAGCCGTACCGTACCATGCAGTGGAAAAGCGCCATAACAGTCATATCTGTATAAAACTCCAGTACGTGGTTTTGCCTGCAGGAGAGGGGCAGATTAGGAAGAGAGGCAAGGGTCTCCCTGATGGCTTTTTGATGGCTAGGTGCTTGTGCGGACATTGTGAGTCTATGGCGTCGGCGGTGGACAGCATGTGTTGTCGAGAGGTGGATGCCTATTGGGCCATAGTTGAGGGTTTAGTTCCGGCCACGGATATTACCTGCCTGACGCTCCATCCCGGCTTTGATGCGTGTTGCCTCAACCTGTTTTCGCTGCAGGTAGCATACCTCAACTTCAGGCAGGAGCATGGCCCTCTCCAAGTCAACAGACCAGAGTACGTTTAGACAAATTTGTAACACCACTATTATATTATTATACACCTAATCTATTATAGTTGTCAGTTTTCTACACAAATTTTGTGTCAAAAGATTGTGCATTATTGATGCTGAGGGTTTAGCAGATTTTCTAACTCAGATGTGCATACATACTTGAGGCTCTACAATTAACATTACCATTATGGAATAGAATAACGGAAAATGTTACATCAAATACTTCCATCACTTCAGTGTCGTGATTATAACAGGATTGTTAATATCATGATTGCCCCCTTCATTGCTCTAGGCAATTCCGATACACAGCCTACAGGCAGGCAGTCCGATGGGCATATGGGTTTCTGGGCAGGGAGATCAGGAAGGCGATACCTGCTTGTGTTGTGGTCCCAATCAGGAGGCAGTTTCCAGAGGAAGGAGGAACATACAGAGGCTTCCAATGGCTCCATATGGGAGGCAATCAATAAATGTATTTTTGTAAAAAATAAACGCAAAATTACACAAATTGTCTTGGTGTATAAAATGTATGTCTAATTTCATTGACAGTACTTAACTTGGCCTCCATCTTATCAGAATCGCCATTTGGGGTGGAAGACGCAGTCCAGTATAAATGGTTGATGATGGCGGGTCTCCGTAGCTTCAGGTCCTCACAATCCTTCTTCTTGGCCACAGCATCCAGTGCTTTTTGTAGACCTGTTACAGAGCAGAAACGTAAAATATTGAGAAAGCTACTAGAATCACAAATAACATCCAAACTAAGCAAAACTATCCAAACTAAGCAAAACTACGGCAGCGACATTACGTTACATACTTTTCCCAATATGCCAGATGTCGTAGAAATGCCTCGTTCCTTCAGGACACAACTCCTCACGGACCCACTTAGCATAGCAACCTATAATATGCAACACATTAAGAATGAGAACATTTAATTCAAGTTCACAGTACAGTTTTACAGTATATGTTATGATCAGTGGCGTGCACAGACCTCCTCAGGGGCAGGGGCAGAGGGACCAAAAAGGGCACTAAAAAATAAATAAATTATTACTTCAAATAACAATCAATTGTATTTTCTTACAGAATTTAAATGTAATTATTTATTCAATAAATCACCTGTATTTAAAGCAGTACCTGTCTGTCTGTTGTGGTTTTAAATATATTAATGACTTCCTCACGATTAATTGGAATATCTCGCTCGATGGAGAGCATCAGTAGGTCAGAGAGCCTCTCTTCATTACAAAGACTTCGA